GGTTACATAAAGAGAGACCTACTCAACACAGTTATATGTGTTTACCTTTGATCCCACAAATTAGAACCCCCTCTCCCCTTTTCAAACATTCTACGTACGTGTCTGATTATCGCTAGTCATTGTAATAATAGTCAACACTCCGTAAGGCTAGCGTTAGTAACATTTTAATTTATAAAGCTGTGAAAGATATCGCAAGCCACCATCATCCTGTTGAGTTTTAATACTTGCCCACGATACCTAGGTGTCGCTAGATGTGGTTTCTCATACTAGATAAGTCGATTGTTTATAATTTTTTTATCACACCATTTGACTCAAAGTGTCTTTTGTACTAGAGGTGTTTAGTTGGTTTGTTTGTTTTGAATTTCGCGCAAAGCTACACGAGAGCTATCTGCGCTAGCCGTTCCTAATTTAGCAGCGTAAGACTAGAGGGAAGGCAGCGAGTCATCAACACCCACCGCCAACTCTTGGGCTACTCTTTTACCAACGAATAGTGGGATTGACCGCACATTATAAGGCCCCCCACGGCTGAAAGGGTGAGCATATTTAGTGGGAAGGAAATTCGAACCCGCGACCCTCAGATTGCGAGTCGAGTGCCCTAACCACCAGGAGGTGTTTGGTGGGTGTCACGTGTTGTGAACAGGTTTAATTTCGAAGTTACCGAGACGCCCCGCAAGTCCATCAGATTAGTTCAGAACTCTATGTGCCTAAACTATAGCGTGAATAATCTACGCAAGTAACATAAATGTTACATTGCTTTCACATTTTACAAAATTTCTGCATTCAATTAAAAAGTACCACAACCAAAAAAAAATGTTTCGTAAACAATGCACTTTCCACCATTAGTTATTAAAAATAGACTTTTCTTTTTTTTTTCCGTATAAACTAATTTCCAAAATCGTGGTACCTATTCTTTAGTATCGTTTCATATTCTATTCTCATTGAAAAAAAGGGGGGGGGGGCGGAAGAGTTTGGCCGAAAAATGACAAAAATTACTTCTACTTTCCTTGTGTAAGTTTATTAGCTGAATTGGTTTACATTAAAGATTACTTCTACTTTCCTTACTGTGTAAGTTTATTAGCTGAATTGGTTTACATTAAAGATTACTTCTACTTTCCTTACTGTGTAAGTTTATTAGCTGAATTGGTTTACATTAAAGATTACTTCTACTTTCCTTGAGTAAGTTTACTAGCTGAATTGGTTTACATTAAAGATTACTTCTACTTTCCTTGAGTAAGTTTATTAGCTGAATTGGTTTACATTAAAGATTACTTCTACTTTCCTTGTGTAAGTTTATTAGCTGAATTGGTTTACATTAAAGATTACTTCTACTTTCCTTACTGTGTAAGTTTATTAGCTGAATTGGTTTACATTAAAGATTACTTCTACTTTCCTTACTGTGTAAGTTTATTAGCTGAATTGGTTTACATTAAAGATTACTTCTACTTTCCTTACTGTGTAAGTTTATTAG